GAAATAAGTTAACACCACTTGCAAATCCCAGTTTTCATTATTATTATTATTATTATTTCTTAAATAGTTCTAAATATTATTTACAAATACTGTAAAGAACAATGTTTACAGCAAAATGGAAAGATTTTAACAGATGAGATCCCTTGTCTGATTGGTTATCAAAGGGTTTGTTTTGAGATGCTTCACAGATGACTGTGTTAAACTATTTCTGGACATACTCAACATTAACATTAATGAAATCAGAACATGCGCCAGCAGACTGCAAAATTCAGCTAGAAAGAGTTCAACAGCTTGACTTTTTAATTTGGTTAGTACCTACACTAATAGTGCTCCACACTCATCCCCCAAAATAAATTTAAAAACAAAAATATAACCCCCAAACAAAAGCAAAACACAACCGAAAAAGATCAAAGAAAAGAAATTGAAAGCACCTTGTGTTTGAAGAGTATGTATGGATGCAGATTATGAGGTCACTAAGATATTTTTGAAAGCTTTACACAGTGATTTTTGTTCAAAGTCACCATTTAAATAAACAAAAATTACTATATATGTCACATATTCCTTTAAATATAACAAAAGCACTCATAATTTGAACAGGAGCCTATTTAAAAAGAAATCTGTTTTAAAGATTTTTCAGATGCTAGCACTATATTTTAAATTAAATTGTGATAAAAAAGCTTAACATTTTCTTGACTACTTGACAGATACTTACACAAAAAAGGGCATCAGCTGAATAAGAGTCTCTTTTTTGGGATTGGCTGTGAATTCTGGCACAGTTTGAATGATTTTGTTCATTACATTCCTTAGGTAATTTTGTAGCTGCTTGCGTCGCTCTTCTACAAACTTTGCATCCTAAAAATAGAAAAGAAAAAATATAAATGGCGTAAAGAATATGTTTTTCAATTCTATAATGTAAGTAAACAGTCCTAATAAGCATAAAATTTGATGTCTTGATGATCTATGTTTATTATGTCTACAGCAATATGCTGGCACTACGCAAGAAACCCTTGATCCCGTCCTCCTTAGAGGGAAAAGGAAAATCATGCAACCTGGTGAAAACCTGCTTCACGAAAACATCCCCGGACAGGACGGTGAATTCTCTCCTTGGCAGAATGTCTCTTCTATGGACCAGAAGTCTTTTCCAGGAAATACTACAGTTTCAGAAAGGCAGTGCTTAACAGCGACACAGAGGTAGAGGCATAACAATTTATGCGATTCTTTTTGAGACCCAGAATTACCAGTCTCTGCAGAAGGAAATACCGACTTTTTCCCACAAATCTCTTCAGAATTCCTACTTTTCTGATGTTGGGTACACAAACTCCAGAATCAATTAACATTTCTCCAGCTTTTTTTATTAATAATGTTAAGAAATTGTTGTTTTGTGATGGAGTTTTCATATCATAGATTGCTTTTTTTAGAGATTTTATCACAACTCTCATGAAAAGTGTTTTACTGCAGTTCCTACAGTATTTTAGATCTCAGGATTTTACACTATATTCACCCCAAGAAATGAAGTAATTCTATAAACTCCACATTCTGCTGAGGGACTTACAAATTAAAAGTCTAACAATGAGCACACCACCACGCATCCTGTACCTTACACCTAGCTTAAACTTCTTCCTGTGAGGGATCGCAGTTACAGTGAACCATAATGTAAGTCCACACGATTCACGCTAACGTAAGACCGTAATGGCCTTACAATGAAATCAGGCGCTGGCTGGCTTGTGGTGCAGCCAGTCGGCTCTATCTCAGCAAAGCAAAAAAACTCTATCTCAGCAACGCAGGCATCCCGATCGCCTGGCGGAAGTGCCCGAGTACGGTCTCTAGGCGTGAAGCCAGAACCATCATTACACAATTACAGCTCTCGCAGGAAGGGCTATTACCTCTAAGATGTGTCTATCCAACCTGCATTATTTATCTGTGTCAGAAAAATCATTGAACCAAATTCTTGGTTCTTGGGGGGGGGGGGCAACACCCACTGGGGGGGGGGGGGAGACAACCCACCAATGAAACACCATAAATACATTTGACAACACTGAATAAATTCATTGTAGTAAAAAGGTTCAAGCTGTGCTGCCGTGCGTGGGATGCGAATCTGAAGATTATTCCTTCCCGAGGTACAACCGACTAACTCCTCATCAAGGCAGGGATGCTCCTTGGAATTCAGGAGGACGGCTGCCGAGTTCCTTTATTGACATTTCGTTCTGTTCTTGTCTCTCATTAGAAGTTACCAGGAACAGCAATATTTTTGGAAGACGTAAGAAAATGAGAAAAGATTCTGAATGACATTTCTCAAAGTAGTAATTTAAATTCATAGAATTTAAAAAAACAAAACCCAACCAATGTCAAGCGAGGTACATTTGCAAATATTGGCAACTAATCCTGTATACTAAAAAGAGCCTCATTTGTTATAATTTGAGGAAGTCTTTTCCGCTCTTGTCTTTTATTTGCATGTAATTACTTAAATAACATGTAATTGTAATTACTGTAACATTTATAATTGCTGAAGATATTCATACTTACAGGCTTCAAAAACTTAGGCAGTGCTTGTGGTTTTTAATTAAGTTCACGGAATTCCAAAATATATACAGATTCTTTTTGTTGTTGTTGTTTTCTAGATAAGAACTTACAGATGTCCACCCCTGTTTCACATTCCAGTTCTATAGTCATACATGTAATAATCAAGATCAGTGTGAAAATAAAAAACCCAATGTATTATATGGTTTGAGATTTCTTTTTCATCAGTCACGTTTTTCAGCAACATACACACACACGCGCTACACACATGAATAGTGTCGCAAGTGATTCTAGCGTTAATTGCTTTACTGATAAACAAAGAAAGTCTGAAAACTCTTGGAAACTGGTACTTCATTAAAAACCAAAGCTGCACTGTCGACACTTCCTGCAACCCACTCTGCCGAGCCACTCGCCCAGCACTCCGCAACCGAGTACGTTACTGCTCAAACGGAACAGAGCAGCAGCTTGCTCCGTGCCCTGCGGCACCGACGTCGGGACAAACGTGTGGAACAGAAGCTCATGCAAGCTGCTGGGAAATGTTACAGCGAAAATTTTAACACCTGGCAACACACGGTATTAGAATAAAATGGAATGCTCATCATAACTACAAGTGTAGTGCAATACTAATTAACTGACTCACAATTATTTTTCCTCTTTTCACTAAGATTTTTGTTCCTACTGGGCTCTTTGCCTAGCTCAAGGAACAGCCTTGCCTTCCCACCTTTTCACTCAAAGGATTTAACGTGTCGCACCGTCCCGTCGGCAGGGACACCAGCGTGCTGCCACCGGCTGCGTGCGGCGGAAGACAAGAAAGCGCGGCACATGGGGGATCTCGGAGGAGAAAAAGTTTGCGGAACAGCTTTGGTTCCGAAAGCTTTAACCACAGGAGCGGCGGTGGCGTCTGGCACGTGAGACCGTTTCAAGGACGGAGTCGTCCTCTGCCCGCTCTCACCTGACCGTGCGTAGGGCAGGACAGAGGAGCACGCTCGGCTCTGAAGCCTGCTGCCAGCGCAGACACGGCCCCAAAGAACCGGCCTCACCCTCCACGCTTCTGCTTCCATCGCTTCTGCCGACCACCTTTTCAACCCCCCCGGAAAATCTCTATTTTTGAAGTACCGCTTTCATTAGCATTTTTTCAGTTAAGTTCTTTTGGTCACAAATCCTCAGGAACAGTATTTTTGGTGAAATCACTTCAATTATGTTAAAACGTACTCTTAAGCAGAAACTGCATTCTTTTAGTACGACTTCTGTACGGCGCATGTGTTCACACAGATACATCTTTCACAGGCTGGACCACGTTGTTACAAACACAGGAGCAAAATGCTGAAGGTAGGGACTTTCTGTCCCTTATCGTATTGTTAGGAATCTCATTAACTGCAGATGACAACGGCACAAAGGAGTTTTCTGATTAAGACTGCCAAAACATGCATAGGGAAGGCATTTTTGCTGTTTACGGCTGCTCAAATTACTCTTATAAAATAGCTATTTTTCTGCCATTTATTCAAGCAAAATAGAGAAAATCTCAGAAATTAAACTCAGCCCGACAGCAGTCAAACATGCTCTTTTAGCCTGATGTGAAGTTGCTCTCCAACGCCGAGCGCTCTACCGTGGAATCCTGTCCCAGGCAGGAAGGCTCGCTGTCCTTCCCAGAAGCAACGTAAACCCAGGTCGGTGATCCAGGTCTCTGCCTGAGCATTAAACGTGCGTTTTACAACAGCCGGTCGGCCACTCAGAGGAATTATTGTACCGCACAGTTGGTACTGCCAAGCAGTTGCAGTAATACAGTTTTTGTCACAAAACAGTAAATAGAATAATTGGTAACAGAAAAACACAATTGGTTCAAAGCCTGGCCAATTTTTTCAGTCTCAAATTATAAACGGCTAACTGTTGCCCTCTTTTTATTGGACCCAATTATCTACAACTGAGATCTAGTTAGTATTTTAGATTCCAACTCCTAAACGATATTTTTATTTACAAGCAAAAAGCAAATGGAAAGATTTTGATTTGGATTTGTATCAGGGGAAAAAAACCCCATACTTTTAGCACATGTATGAGATTGTATCTGTCAATACCAACCTACACTTGCATATCTGTTCACACAGGGAACAGCAAAGATCTTCCCCTAAGATTCAACATACAGATTTATGTATACTTGATACAAATGTACTTTGGGGACAAAGTAATTTTGTTAAAATTACAACTACATATACTGTTGCCAAAAAACCCTTACATTTTCACAGGTTAGATTATATAATTTCATTTTTAGGAAAATAAATGCATGTATGGGAAGATAAAGTAACAGTAAATAAACGCACACTTCCAAGATCTCACTGAAGAGAGATCCCGCTCACGTGGTAGAAAAAGGAGACCTGCCCTGCAAAATATGGATAGGTATTATTACAAAGATCAAAGGTATTTTCTGACATTCAGGTAAGAAAAGTGTATAGAAGAAATGGAACGGGCAAGATGAATCAATAGCAGGACTTGTCTCTAACAAGGAAACAGAACTTGTGTCTTGAATCATCAAGGCAGTCATTCAACCAGTTGGGATCTGAATCACAGCAAAGACCTTTTCTTTGCCTCACAAATGGCTTTTTTATTTGCAGGAATG